CCGCGCCCCCGCCTCGTGCCCGCCCGGCGCGTGAGGCGGCCGCCCCGCCGCGCCCCCGCTGAGTCCTCGCTCGCCCGGGGCAGGCAGGCAGGCAGGTCCCAGGTCCCGCGGGAGGCGCCATGGGATTACCTGCCCTGGAGTTCAGCGACTGCTGCCTGGACAGCCCACAGTTCCGAGACACGCTCAAGTCCCACGAGGCCGAGCTGGACAAGACCAACAAGTTCATCAAGGAGCTGCTCAAGGACGGGAAGACGCTCATTGCGGCGCTCAAGAGTAAGGGGCTGGCGGGGGCGGGGGCTGCACCTGGCCTGGGGCCCTGCCAGCCCGGCGGGTCTCCGTAAGCCCACCCTGAGCCAGGCCCGGGGGGGCGTTCCTGGCCGGTCGGGGTGCGAGGTGCCTGTGGGGGGCAGCTGCAGGTGAGCCGCCCGCCCCCCCCCTCGGCCCGTCCAGGAAGGGGCTGTGCTGGTCCTCGTCGGCCCCGCGTTTCGGCCGGGTTGGGGGGATGGCGCGGGCGCGCAGGTCGCCTGCTCCTTGAAAGGGACACTTATCTTCCCGCCCAGCTCTGGCAGGGCGCTGCGCTGTCGCTCCCTCCTGAACGTCTCCGGTCCTGGTGGAGTGGGGGAGGGAAAGCTTTGCTTCTAGAAATATATATTTTTTTTCCAGGCAAGCGATTTAAGCAAACGGATGCGGAGGATCGTGAACATGGTTCTTCTAGCTCCGACTTCTCTGGCAGGGTGAAAAATTGATCCGAGGGGCAGGTCCAGCAATGGACCGTATCCTTCTCGCCCGGGAAGCGTGTTGTGCAGTGTGGCTCCGTGACCCTTTATCTTTGGGCTAGATGCCATCCACCCATTGTTCCCAGGACCTCGTTCTCCACGGATATAGCATGCACTCTGCAACATTGCTAGTTGCGTTCCGCTACTTGCAGTGGGACCTTGCTTGCATGCCTGAGAGTTCGCTAGAAATAGCTTTCCCTTCCGTCTAGCAGGGTGAGAGCGCTCTGAACACATCACTTGTTTTGCCTGTAACCTAATGCTGAATAGATGCATCCTCCATAAGTGCTGCTTACCTCCTGAAAAGGAGTTGGTGCTGCTGCCGTTCCATCTGTATGTTTGAGAGACACATGTACAGATAGTTCCCCTAACGTGTGCAAACACCAAACCTGTTACCTGTGTACCTTTGACACCTGTTTTGAAGGGCTGAGCCTCACTGCACTGTCTACCTGCAAAGCATTATCAGCTTTGCGCATGTGTTAAATCCACCCAAACATTTATTTTAAATAACAAACCCTGTTCTGAAGTGTGGATTCAGTAGGGAAGGAGCCTTGAAGGAGGCTGGTAATGCTGCTGCCTGGCGTGCTGCGGTGAGCTGCTAGATGAGCCTTCTTTGTATAACGGCGAGGAAATTGCATGGTTGGGGTAGATTTAGACTCCTTGTACAGTTAGTGTCACTCACCTTGGACCTGCCCTGTAGCTTCCTTGCTGGCTCAGTCTTCATGCTTCATTGTTGTACTCCCGCAGCCAGCTTATACAAAGTGAAGTGGGGGATTTTTACTAAGGTCTTTCTTTGAAAATCGGGGTTTTTGAGTCAGGATGACTAAATATTCCTGACTCTCTCTTATTTGCCTTTCTCCATTACAAAATAAGGGAGCCAGACCTTGATGCTGCAATTGGCTCACTTTCCCCATGCTGGAAATGGGTCAGTTGTCCACCTTACAATACACAACGCTACCAGCTCAGGGGACACTGTATTTTGATCTTAGCCCCCCTCCCCCTCCTTTTTTCTGCCCTATCCCATCCTGATCAGATCACATCATTGCTTAGTTTTGCTTGTACAGCTGGGACCAAACTGTGGTGCACTTGTTTTGCTAAGACCTGTTGCATCCCTGGGTTGGTGATTATGGATAGAATATGGTTGGAGCTTAGCTATGCAGGCAGGACTAAACTCTGTTAGACTATGGACCTGGAGAGGCCATTTTCTTTATGTAATTTCTTTGATAAAGTAACTCCTTTTTTTCTACTCTAGAATGGCCTCAACTATGGATATTTTCACCGGCTGACTTGAGTCTTCTTTCATGCTTTTTAAGCACACTGCTGAGAGATCTTGTAATCTAAATGCATTCCTTTACTTCTATATTTTGGATTAGATTTTGCTCCTGTTTCCTCTTTCCCCCTCCATCCCCACAATTGGGATGAAGCTTTGCATATCCATCCCTCATGGCTGTGTTTCCTGTAGGATGTATTAGTATGTGTTTCAATGATGCTGTTACCTTGCATCTTGACACTGCCATATGGTATCCTGCCTGCTCCATGGGCTATATTGGGATGGGATCACCCATTGCAGTAGGACAGGTGACATTCCTGTTCATAGCTTGTGCGTGCTGGTTTGTCACTGAAGGGTTCTTCGTAAGTGAGCTGCAGCTGTTGGGGTTTATTTCTGTTCTTTCTCTCCTTCGGGTCAAGTTCTGAGTTGCAAATGTTTAGTTCCTTTTATGCTTGAAATCTTACCCTAGAGGTTCTGTGTTTCAGGCATTGAAACTCACGCTGTGGATGCATGTCTTTAAAGTATCTGGACAATGTTTATTCTTTAGGGCTGAGATCTGATGTCTTAAAGTGCCATGTTTGTCTCTGTATATGTAAAAAAGCATTTTCCTGCTTGACACAAGCAGTCTGTTTGGCGGTATGTTCTCCAAGCCAGTATATTCTGGCTATAGCCAGTCATATAGTGGAATAGAGAAAATTGTAGTTTTACACTGCTGGATTAATCAAACTGCAGTTCCAGTGAATCTGTTAACAAAGACTGGCTGTCCGAGGAATACTTGCACTTTCATTGTCAGGATCATGCTGTGAGACAAATATTTTGTTACAGTGACTTAATGTGGTGATTTTTTTGCATTTCTCCAGTGGCTTGTACTCATGGGCTTCTCCAGGATGTGGCACTTGGCTTTGCATATTCTTAGCTCATAATCCTTGGCATCTTTGTTGAAATCGGCTGTGATCATTCCAGTCCTGTAGCAACAAAGCCCAGTTACATGCCTACACAGTGATAAGACTTTGCAGCTGTATCTGAATTGTGGCAGGAAGATAATGCCAACAGTATTTCTGTAGATAAGAATGTTTTATGACTGAATTGCTTTCTAGCTGTGGCTCAATAAACGCCTTGGATGTCAGCCTAGTTCCATTGAAATGTTTGGGAGTTCATCTCTACATTGGGCAAGAGTATGGCTAAACACTTTTGCGATTGATTCATCATCTATGGAAGTTGGTGAGAGTCTGCATTGACTTCACTAGATTTTGGATCAGAGCCTATGTGACTAACTGCATGTAACAGCATCATGCTAGTAGGCATATTGTGTATCTGTTCAGCGTCAGCACAAGTAAGAATCTTTTTCCAGTGAAAAAATCCAATGGCTTCACTAGTTCCTGGCGTTCAGTATAAGCTGGCATTTTGAGGTCATGTAATTGCTTGTCTACAACCCTCCACTGAAGCACTATGTGGAAATCCTGCATCAGGAGAGGTGTTTGGCAGAACTATTGGGGTGGTCTTAGTAGAGCTTGCTGTCGGTGGTGTAATAAGGGTGAAACACTAACAGACAATACACTTTTTTCTGTAAGATATAAACATGAGCTAGATTCTTGTGTCATATAACTTATTCTAAATGTGATAAATCTCCTTTTTGTTGGCTGAGGGTTCAGTTGGGGGAGCCTGCAGAAATGTCTCTGCCCCAGCATCATCTCTTGCACGCTCTTGCTCTCTCCCCGTAGTTTCTGTGTCTTGTTCTGTTTACTCTTCCTTTTGTCACCTGCTGCTGAGTCGAGTGATGATGAGCTGTGGAGCAGACGGATGACAACAGCAGTAAACCTTGGCTGGGGGGCAGGGTATAGTGCTGTGCTAGTTAAATAAGAGGCTGAGGGGTGTTAGTATGAGATCCTGTGGCATAAAATGCTTGGAGACTGGGCATGAGTGATGTACTGTGTTTTTTACATGGCAGGTACCTCTGACAGCAGGAGTGGTGTAAGTAGCTGGAGGAGGGCAGTGGTGGTGGGGTGTGATCCAGATGATTGCTACGAAAGGGTTGCATTCAGCTGGCGTCTCTGCTCTAACTGCCTGGAATCCTCCAGCCCCAAGTATGAGCCCTGTTAAATGGCACTATATATAGGCCACAAGGTAGCCCTTGGCAAGAGCTCTCTCCTACTCTGTTTTAGTTTTTTTTTTCTTCTAGGTTAGTCTCATCAGGCAGCCCACTCTGCTTGTTAAAATGAACGCTGTCAAGCACTCTGTATTGGGAAAGATTGACCTGGTCTAAATGGATATAAGTCAGATTCTCCAAATCCAGATTGAAAATTTTTCTCTCCTGGTTTCTTTCACCAGCTCTCTCAGGTGCATGAGTTTCTCTACATTATAATGGAAGGAGCAGTAACATTGCATCTTGCTGGGTTTGTTGTTGTTCTCAACAGAAACAACTTTTGCTGAAGATATCCCATAGTGTTTAGGGGATGTTTCTGTAGTATGGATTTCTTATTTTATTATTTTTTTGCCTTTCCTATTTTAAAGCGAGGGAGGATCTGACACTGTTTCTATTGTCTCCATTTATTGCCTCCTGATATTTCCAGTGGCCTGGTTTTTGTCGCAACATGTCTCTTCTCTGCCACACCATGCATGCATGAATTATTCAGAAAGTTTAGCAAATGCTGAGCATTGAAGTGAGGCATTGGTAATGAACTGTAAAGCTTGGAGGCCATGGTTTCTCTTGGGCAGGGAAGCAGCACCTGCTAACTGGCACTAGTGGTTGCAGGCATTGGGAATATGTAATGTCCAAGCCTTTCCTTTCACTTCATGCGCCTTCCATGCGTGGGGGGATTGGGAAGCTCTTATTTGTTCTGGCATCTCTCCCTATACCTTCTGGCACAGTACCCTCCCTTGCTAGTATGGGAAGCTTCTAGTTCATTCCTTGCCTCTAATTTGGTGACTCATCTGATTTTTCTATTTTGGTGGAGGGGAGATAGTGAGGTTTGATTTTTTTTTTTTTTTTTTTTTTTTTTTTTTTTTTTTTTTTTTTTTTATATACATCACGTCTTTTACTCTTGCCACTACCCCATGCCTGGTGCCCCATGCTGCAGCTACTCGCAGCCTGCCTGGGGCTGCCTGTGTCTGCTCTGGACAGCCCCGGGCTGTAAGCGCTTGCAGCGCGGGGCGCCGGCCATGGGGCAGG